GCTGATAGCCTCCTCTAGCACACACTGGTCGGAACGCCTCTCACTCATTCTTCTCAGTATACGCAATACTGTTAAAGAGGACTTGGGCTGCACAGCCGCTGAACTCGTCTTCGACACTACCTTACGCCTTCCAGGTGAAATGGTAGTCGACTCGGCAACAACTGGTGAAACGGACCCTAATTCCTACGCTTCCCGGCTTCGCCCACACTTGCGTGTTATCCGTCCTTCACCTACCCGACAAACTTGCAAACCTACCCAGGTACATCCCGATCTTGCTACATGTGACTATGTTTTTGTGCGCGTCGATGCGGTCAGAGAGCCCTTACAACCGCCATACGAAGGGCCTTTCAGAGTCATTTCTCGGAAAGACAAAACTTTAGTCATTGATCGCAACGGCCGCACACACAGTTAGCATCGATCGACTGAAGGTCGCCTACATGCACACACGACCAACCGCTGATGATGAGCATACTACGACCCCCTCCGTTATACAACCACACAGTCACACGATCCCTCCTTCGACCAGTGCCACCACCACACACACACCATCACTCATAAGATCTGGTCGATGTTGCAAACTTCCTATTCGTTTCAAAGACTAACTGTCGTGACGCATTTCTTTTTCGAACGTCTTGCTCACCCATTTGACGCTCTAGGGGGGGGAGTTCTGTAACACTTGTAAACTGCTCTTTTTTACGCTCAGTATCATCTTCTTTTTCCCCATCATTATCAGTCACATCGCTGTACAAAAGTTTATTTTACTGAAATACAACCGCTGCCGCCCCCTTGTTGGCTCCAACGTGACTTTGAGACTTTTGCTGAATGACTGTTGTTGTGACCGCCGGTTGGCTTTAATTGACTGCTACTAACACTAAACGTGAACAAACATTTTAGCTACAAACACTGGACTAATATATTCACACTTGTGGAATAATATTTCTAGCACCAGAGATGTGGAATACCAGAAAGATAGAACTATTCTTGGTGTGGTGGTTCAACGGAATTACGGAATCTCCTATTTTGAACTGTGATTCAAGATTTACTTGGATTTTTCTCCTTGTGACTTTGTATCTGGCTTACATTAGTAATTTGCTCTGTTCACTAGAGACTCCATAGGGCCGTTAACCAATACAACTTTAGCGGAGGTCAAATCTTCTGGGTTTTGACCGTTTGTGAGGCACTTTTGCTTTGTGCAATTTTGACTTGTTCTGTGCAGGACATGAGCAACCTAAAGCGGGTCGAAGTCCCAAAAATGAGTCCACGTAAGAGAACCTAAGAAAGACCAACCTGTTAAAAGACCAGTAGAGACAGCCAGTTGACCAATCAAAGATAGGAAGAGACGTAGGACACGAAACACAAATGGACCCATGTCAGTGAACACTGCACTTTACCCGAAAAGTTAACCATCCCGGAGTGCCCGAAATGAACGTCCACAGGGTCTTCTTTAAACAGATGGCGTGTGCACAGGCGCGAACGATTCAATGATTTCGTATGGAATCAGTGACGGTTACGACAGCGTGTAACGGGGCTGCGGCACACGGACGCCAAGCTGATCAACCTGAAATGTGCACTACCAGGCTGGAACACGAGGCAGTTGGTGCGCCGCGCAAATCGGAATTCCCAACACTAAAAGTACCAAGGAGCTATGCCTGACTAGCACGAAAATGCTACACACATGTCCGGGAGTCCGATACACGTATATCCCGTTATTGTGATCCAGGCATTGTCGTCCGTTAGGTGTCAAACCTGTTCCCACATCCGAACTGGTTTGCGGCACCCTCAGCATTCTGGAACAATCTGCCTCATATTCCACATCGTTCCATTAGGTCTTTTGTTGTGGTTTGCGCAACAAACACTGGTAGCCGTTTGGGCTTCAGCCTCTTCTCTCACATTACATCATGCACGTGGTTCATCCGCCTTCCCCTACAGCTAGGTACCAGAGTGACAATCATATACAAATGTACGCTAAACGCCTATTCATGGACGCAGAATGTGGGTCTCCATACGACAACCCATTCCTCCCGTCTTTCACGGCCGAGTACTGAATGCTGGCGACAAACCGTACGACAGTTTGTGAGACAATCAAGATCACTGACCCACGACTTGCAAACAGTCTGGGGGTGCCGGGTTAGACGATTAAGAGGTGTAAAAATGTCTTGGCCAGGGTAACAATGCTTAACAGAAGCCGGGTGATGATGCAACAGATCTTGTGGAATTTCCTAGTTCCTCTCATCTTAACTAGTTGCCCTAGACCACTTTAGCCTATCTATTTCAACGTCAACTAATTTCTAACCCTGGGTGCCATGTAGCAAACCGTATATCAAAGGCGACTCTGACGAAGATTGGCTGCAAGCGAGGGCAACTAGATAATAAAGTCTTGAAGCATACCCCCACCGCACTTACAGTTACCTTGCCCAGATGAGTCGCAGTGTATCCCATCGCCAAATGGATATTATGGAACGGAGGCTAATACCAAGACAACTATCAATTGGAAGGTACAAAACATAGGACCAGACGCATACAAAAGGCTAAATAGAACAGTAGTTATCCATCCAAAAGTTTACAGTGGGATGCTCGAAACTGCCGTTGTGGAGGAACCCCGAAATCACACAGCCAGGGGACTGTTCGAAGACTAAACGATCGGTCACATTGATTAGAGTTCCGAACGAGCGGAATTCTAGAGGGAAAGGAGAAAAAAGTGACGGTCAGGAGCAGATCATTTCATTATTGAACGGATTCACATTGATTAGATGAGAACGTCGTGAGAAGGCCGTACATACGCCAGTCACCCACATCGGTGGGTGCACGTCATTTGACCTAAACCCAGACGGGAAGGTGAACAGGACTTCGAGTCAGACAAAGCGGCCATTCCATCCGAACAGCTGTCTTTGAGTAATTCGACAAGAGGTGTCCATTTACACGCGAATAGTTCCAAAAATTTGGAGTACCCTACATATCCGTAAGGACCTTCAAGTTATCCAACATGAAAGGCAGACCTAAACTGACCCTAATCTTAAACTTTTAATTAGGGAGGAGAATCCTCACCTACATCACGCATCAACAGTAATCCAGCAGTGAAGGTAAAACAAGCAACCAGTGATGCTGCCCTCAAAGTATGTTAGTCAGTGTTTCTCCCAGAAAATTTGCCAACCTATGAGTGTCGTTTTCAGAACTCAAATAGGAAGAAACACATGGTAACAAAATCTGTAATCCTCACCCCCCGTGAAAACGAGTAGTCAACATGGAGACTCGGAATTGTCATACACTCAAAGTTACCGATAAAAATAGCTTCTCGCACGGATCTACCTTCTCAACTCTGCTGAGCATTATGAGGTAACTAGGTTTGACCAACGAACTCGACTTGGTGAGATAACGGAATAATTGTTATATATCCAGCTAATGAAGCCATCGGTCTTCCAAATGCGCTGCGAAACCCAGGTTCCGGAGCACTAAATCGAAAGCACTCTCTGACTGATTGGAATGTCAGCCGATAGGTCGGCGCTTCTCTCCTGCTCACGGAGATTCTAAGGATTCTTATGGAACATCTCATGATAACCTTACAGATAGAGTTGTTGGTGTACACCGCAGTAGGCGAAACAGTAAACCAAGGACTAGCATGGGAGTCGCACCACAGTTCTCAGTACGCGACGCACGTCTTGTAACTGTCTTATTCGTGTTTCGCGATGGATGTCTCCGCATTCGAATGGGTTTTTAATTACACACGTTCAACATCACAAATCCGCGGTCTCGTCTCTCCATACTTGCCGTAGAATTGAAGGGGAAGGGAGTGAGGACACGGGAGTGCGGCTTTTCAGCCTCAGGGGGGAGGTATGATGGTAAACCAGCTGGCACGAGATAGAAAGTGTGTGTGTGTGAGCGAAACATAACGTTTACGTGTTCCTGCACATCGTCTGTTTTGATAATAAAAATCTAACACACATCTAAAGTGACAAGGTGTCTGGCAAAAATGAACGAATTCCGTGGAGACAACAAACAAGCACGCCAAACAGTCCTTTGTATTTGAAAGGCGCGTACTATGTAAGATGCACGTCAGGATAGCGATACAATCGACCAGTTCGATCAGAAACAAACAAACCCAAATCTGACGCCTTCTACCAGGAACTGGACTCACTGGAATACACACAATGACCGCCCAGCTGCTAAACGCATTGAAAAACCGTTTACTGAATGTAAGAAACAAATCCCATGAACACAATTGCAAACGCGTCAAAATAAAAACGGACGCATAAAGTGTGCATGCGCTATATTCTGGGGAACCACCAATGATTCCCCGCAGCATCGTGAGGAGTACACATCATGGAGATGACCGTTTTCCTCTTGAGGGGATTCGCCGTTCAGAGATGAAATGTTTCGTTAAATTTTCGTAGTGATTCAATCTTGGCATGCAGTTTTAGTGAGCGAAACCGGTCTAGCTATCCCGAAAGGCCAGACGAGCCCCTGAGGCTTCTTGAGAATGTGGCGAGACACATACTACTTGCGCCTACTGCGAGTAGGCCTAATTGGGATGGAATATTCGTTATGTCCGTCGCATTCAGAATAATGACACTGGTGGCATGATGATTTTGGAGCAGTAACAGAACAAACAGTTTAAGGCTGATAGATGTGAACATTTAGTTGTGGCGTTAACGCGTTCGTCCGGCTTCATCTGATTCCTGTGTTTGGAGTAGAAAATACACCACAGTATGACCGGCCCCTTAAATCATAATTTGACAACGTTACACAGATCGAGCAAGCTGACTGTGGAAAGCACTGCTTCACTGCGTGTGCATTTTCGCCCCCATAGATTCCTCCGTAGCGAACTGAAGGAAGTTACGAATATCAGTGGTCGAAAGGCTTGCCAATATACGCCGGAAAGATGCAAGGGCATAAACTGAATAACCTTATGGAAATTGAAGTCATGATCTACTAAGTGACCTGGTGTCGTGGGGAACAGACAACCAACGATCGCGAATCGACTTGAGCTGCATGGAATACACAGCCGGAAAAGGGTAGTGGATAATTCGATAACACGAAGGTAAACTTGCCGAAAATAGGCGCGGTTTGGGATGAAAATTGAACGAAAAGTGTTGGCTTTCATCAACTCTTGGATGTATTATCATCTGCTGGGTTCCAATATCCATGAACAACGTGGGTTCCAGGGTGCTTTCCAGACGCAAAATATGATCTCGCCTGAAATACAAGGAAGATTACCAAATATTAGAACTAATCCCCGCACCAACAAAAGTGGTAATGCTTCAATGACCAGCAATCTATTGAAGCTGCAAATGTGTCCAAATATCGGTGACCTGGGTGTGTTTACTGTGTACCTTGCATGCAAGCTAACTACCAGCCTTGGTGAACAGATCATCATCATTGTCAGATGTAATAACCGCGTACTCGTCGTACAGTGGTTGTAGCTGCCGCAGTTTCGTTCGCCGATGTTTTTTTTTGGGGGGGGATAGGTACAGTGAGCTGTCAAGTGGGAGGGGGTTGGAAAAGGAGCGAGCCAGCGCAACCTATGCAGTGTGATCAGTTCATCTATCGAGGGTGAGTTATTTCTCCCGAATACCATTCGACGTACTTCAGCATTGCTGATCCGGTGTTCCCACTAGATTCGGGCAATGCTCCGAAAAAATCGATGGTCAAACACTGAAAGTCTTTTGACGGGTGAACAGATCAACGGCCACTTGATCAACGAGTTCCAGCTAAAAAAAAATTAAGCTCTTCAAGGGCCTGTTTTTTGCTGGGAATACACGTACATAAAGGTTACGGAAGGAATTTATTCCTGAGTAATCACTTTGACGTGAAATTATATTTGCCAGTATGCGCAAAAATGCCCCAAAATAGAAGCGAATACCGTCGTCAAACCCAGTACAGTAGTTTACGGAGGCCAGCCGTCCCTAATAACCGAACACGTCATTTGGACTGGTGTCACGGGAAGGACACAGACCAGATGGAGGCATGTCCTGATTGGTCAGAATGCCAGCCAATCAGAGTCGAGCACCTTTGACTCGACGCTTCTCGTCCCCCTCACGGAGATTCTGGCACGACCTTGTAGAACACTCTGTGACTACCCTAAAAATACAGTTGTAATGATATTCCTTTGTCTCCATAAAGGGCTGTATAGAGCTACCGTGCCTTTTGATATACCGTGGTGGGCGGAGCAGGAAGCCAAGGGACCGATACAGAGCTACACTACCGTTTAGCACGACAGAACAAGTAGGATCTCTGAGCCTTCCTGACTTGGGTCCACGTGTTTCTCGTTCCATCAGGCAGGACTGTCCAGGCATTCGAATGTGTGTAGAAAATGGTCAATCCACCAAAAATAATGCTAAAATCAAATCAGTCTAAATCAGAACTCTATAACAGAACAACCAGCTACTACCCAGTTGTAATGATATTCCTTTGTCTCCATAAAGGGCTGTGTAGTGAAGCTACACTGAGAAAACAAAGGAGACAGAAGAGCTCCGTAATAGAATGATTAAACCAGGACCATATATGTTCACTATTCGTCGACTGCACGCCGCATTATTGAAACAGGTTGTGTGCGCCGTCTTCAGATAATTCCCAGTTGCGATACGCAGCATAAATCTGAGCTTTCTGCATAGTGAAGAAATTCTGATCAAGACCCATCCTCGGCACACACAAGGTAATGTTCCGAACAGCACGTCTACTCTAAAAGTGACCCAGGCAATATATTCTTCCGTGACAATGTGCCTTTATTAGAAACGGCCGTATGCTTTGCTTTCACGACTGATGCACTCAAGGGAATAATTAATCTCCCACAGTTGCTGTCTTCCTGCTATGCTGACAAAACGGGCTAAGGAGATCCAGTGGTTCAAAGTCAATTCTCTGAGGAATTCGTTTTCTCTGCCGTCAGACATGACGCCATCGACACAAAATGGAAACTTCAGGGTTTCAGCACCAATGTTTTACGGTGGTAGAAACAGAATGGGTAAAATATATGAAGGGGCAAAGAGAACAAACTTTTGGACGTTACTAAAAAGCAATGCTCCATGGGAGTAAAAAACACGCACGATATCAAGCGAGATAGTGTATGAAGAACGGCTAACTGTATTGGTCAGTCTCATTGCAAACGCAGTACGAATAAAAAAAACCACACACTGTGAAGTGGCAGTTGCCATATACTATTAATAAAACCAAAAGTCTACCCGAACATCGAATGGACTCGGATATTATGTGGTCAATCTGAGTGGGAGAAACACTCGTTGGTTCAAACACAAAATACAACTCGGTCAGGCCCATAGTGTAGACTGTAACTAGCGAGATAAAGCAGTCCGGGTGATAGGTTACACAGCTGAAAAGTTAATCCGACAAAAATACGAACACCGGCTACTTACCCAACGACATGGCGCATTTTAGAATGAGGCAGCACGAAGAAAAGAGACTTAGAAAAGTCATGTGTTGCAACCACATGATCAGGTCGATCCAAAGGAAACAGGGTGAGTCGTAGAGAGGACACGAATTCGTCATCTGTATCGACGCTAACCGTGAGCTGATGGGATCAGAAAAGCAAGAATCAAATGCAAATGACTGGATTATTCGGTGCAAAACAGAATAAACCTGTGATTACAAGCATATACTATGGGAAAGTTTGTATTTGGGAAACCTTACACGGTAATTGATGTAGTTGTCTTACCGGCTACTGACAATGACTTTACAGCTATACCCATCACCACAAATGGTTGAAAACACCTTCCGAGTGTCCGAACCTTGCTTGCAACGTGAATAAATGTCTGGTGTCAATCTTACATGCGAGCTTCTACAAAGCTTTACTGCAAACGCACCGCCTGAAATTATGATCAGTGGGTAAATTCATGTGCTCTCTTATCAAAAATGATGACCACTGCAAGTTCTCCTTCACACGAATAGAAGAAAACAGGCCAAGCGGGTTGATAATACCGGAGGCATCGCAGTCCTCTTCGGGAGAACGAACCCCCCAAAACCGAAGAGAAGGCACCTATCTCATCATATGGGTTGTTTACTTTCGAAGAGATACTAAAAGGGAAGGACCCAGATCTAGAAGATGGTTGGTACACTAACTTGTCATATGACTGACATTTCTAAGGCGACTCGACTTGATTTAGCTGACAATTTAATCCTGGGTGCACACACAACACAATTAGCTTGAATACTTTGCATTTGAAACAAAGGGTGTGATCAATACAACTAAAGGATACCATAAAGCAACACACGGTACATCAACATATTTTCTCAATTCTCAACAATCAGCTGTTTTCTCAACTGCGTAAGAATAAGTCTTCCTAATAACTGACCATATTTAGTGCAACCTTGGCCAGCTGATATAAAAAACCGAATTCCAAATGGACTGAATGACGACCACGTTGTGCTAGCAATCATACACGTGAGAATGCTGGAATTCTAATGCATTTGTAGAAAATGAGAAATTCTAGCGCGCTTTAACAGATATCATTGAAAATACTCGGGCACGAGTGAAATTTCACCCTCCAGCGTGAAGTGTGTGGCGCGATGGCATCTTACATTGTGGAAACGAGTTGAAATCTCCAGGTACCGCAAGATCATGGAAGTGAAAACACAAGAAAAGGTACCTACAAATCACGCACGAGGTGTGGTTGTGCTCACATTTACAACTAACCGTAACAGTATTTTCCGTTATTACCGCCTTCCCCACTGTTTCCTTTCTCGTAGATATGAAAGAAAAAATATCCACATGGTCCACTTCACCGTCATATCGAAACACCTGGCACTAGAGAAAATCTGCAGTAGCTAGACTCGAGGGCTCGATATCTTAGTAAGTTGCGAGCCGCACTACAAAGTACAAGGACACTAGTCTGTCACTACTACTATCATTTATTTTTGAAGAGCATGGTCACAAACATAAAAAGTGAATGCAAGCGATGAATGCGAAAGAGTAACACGAGAATATGGGAGAAAAGAGAGAAACGTCTCATTCGAAATCATGCCAAGGACAGTGCCAGTCTGATGAGGTGAATCCCGAAGTATGTAAAGATTTTGGTATGGAAACACGCGTCTAAAGACCAACAACCGAAGAAAGGACAAACAATGGTGAATGCTCTTCAAGGCGCAGTGTGCGCTAGCATAGTCAAGACTCGCACATCAGGCACAAAGTGTCCGTCATACTGGGTCTGGTGTGAGATTAAATGGCAAAAATGTACCTTCAACGCCATGTGCCACGCATAAAAGTGTCATAAGTACGCAGAGAGCCCACAATGGCAAGCAAACACAAGTCACTGATTGCGACCTTAGGAAGTCCCAGTCCAATAACAGCCTTAGCGGATTGAGGAAAGCAGATCCCTCGATAAGAGATGATCATCGGTTGGTGAACCAAAAAGTCGA